CATTTAGTAATTTTTTAACATGATTCCACTTTAAAATATTTATGGATGAAATGCCTGGGATTTGCTGTGAAATAACCCAGTGGGGAAGGGAGGCACAGAGGAAACGAGACGGCCATGAGACCTCTTGAAGCTGGGTGATAAGTACAGGGGGGTTCATGTGCTAGTCTCCCTGATGTTCATGTCTTATTTTCCATAATAAAAGCTAAAATAAAAATAAAGCAAGTGCCTCTGGGAGGGTATTCACACTTCACCTTGAGCTCATCTCCTAAGACGAGTCCTTCCTCTCACCATCAGCAGGAGGACCTATGCCGCCATGTGAGTCCAGGTGTTCTGTGTTGATGCAAAGCCTTCTTTAGAACCTTTGCTGTCTGCAACTGCTCTCCAAGCAGTCAAGGAACTGCCAATCAATCTTCAGTGAAAAGACTCAGGAGTAGCAACTTGGGCTTAGCTGAGCAGCTCCTTGCTTTATTGACACCTATGAGTGATGGTTTAAGGAATGTTTGTGCCAGCAAGCATCCCTAGTTTGAGTGATAAGACTCACTACCCAATGGTCTACAGGGTCCTGCAGAGAGCAGCAGACCGCTCCAGTGCCCCAGCACCTGGGCACGCTGGCAACCAGCGAGGGCAGGGGCGTCTGCCTAGGGGGACCAGGGCATAGGGAGAAGACCACCAGCAAGAGGGAAGGAGAAGGGCACTGGGCCTGGGACACAAAAAAAGAGGTGGCAAAACCCTCTGCACCTAAATGAAGTTTTGCCCAGGGCAGGCTCTTCTCAGAAACGAGAAGGAAACCCTCTTCCACTCCCTGTCCCAGCCTGCTCTTCCTCCCACATAGCTCCCACTCAAGAAGCAGTGCCAGTTCTCAGGAGGCTGCAGTTACTTACCTAGGATTAGGACGACAGGCACAAGAGGGCCACTCAGATTCCTGACTTTGCCCCATCTCATTACCGGCGAGAGAGTGAAGACAGTAATACCTCAACCAGATACCAAAGAGAAACGGTCAGAAC